TTATTTCGGAGATAGGACGATCAAATTTGGCACAGTACAGGAGGCAGTATAGGAGTGCTGATGGGGAGTGGCATTCTAGACTCGCCCACAGGGGCGGGGTGTGCGTAAAACTTTATAGGAACGTGGGACGTTCAAATTTGGCAAGAGTTTATTCGGTGCTCAGCGTGAGAGGAGCATTATCTGAGCAAGAATATGCGATCAACTTGAAACTAGAGCAGGTCTCCGCTCATAGAATACGGAGCGCGCACGAAATATGTGTGTGGGTGAATTCCACCATGAATCGTAACTTCTCTTTCTTTGGGTCCTTGGACCAGAACGTGCAAATTTGAAAGTGTGTGCAGTCAGCGAATCGTCTCTAACCCGAAATAAAGGGTGTTCTGTTTGGGGCCATTGTATTAATCTTAAGTTCGCTGTCAGTGTTTTCTTATGTGCAGTTCGTGGCATTGCTGAAATCAACATCGCTTCACTTGGTCACAATTCAGGAACACATGGAACGCTGTCTACCTGGATGGTTCGTGGCGTTTTGTCCAATGCAACTGGGGAGCACGCCACCTTGTGTGAGGATTTGAGCTTTTTTTCTGGTGTGGATCACTGTGGATAGTTCATTGGTCATTTCGTTGGTGGTCTGGCTTCTGTACTTCTTTGACGTCTTTTCAACTTGAATCGAAATTTGAAATTCAGTATCACTAACTTTTGAAAACGCCGTTGTCCCACATCTTACGGGACTCACAAAATAATGAGCGCCGAAATTCACAACATTCTTAGGCAGAATTAATCGATTACATCCACTTCTTTCGTTATTATTTAATAGTAATATAAGTAGTTAGAGTAGTTACTCTCGCAATCTGCATGCAGTTGGCGGAAGGATAACGTGAAAATCCTTGTGATTGGAGTAATAACCATGTAGAAGGCTAACAAATACGGTGAAGCAGGATCAATCCAACAAGGGCTTATGTTTCAGAAATGCGAAGGAGAGCGAATTTGAAAGCCGTTCTGATGGCAATCTTCGATATGAGTACGATGATCACTACTTTATGACGGATCCTGAGGTACTTTCCACGTACCGTTTCCACAATTCCAGTGTTCCTAGTTTGAGTTTCCTCATGAATTCTGAGGTTGACCCCTTGTTTTTATATAAGCACTGTTCTTGTGGTGTGGTGGGTACCTCGAATGCGTCAAGCTCGTCGGAAGCCCTTGACCAGTTCTTTCTGCTTTTTTCACTGATAGGTGGACGGCTATCGGTCAACTCATGGAGATCCATTGGATGAGCACCTTCCTGTAGCTGAGAGCATGTAGGCCAACGAAGACTAATGGCAATTTGTTTTCTTTATATCTATAAATCCTGTTATTGCGCTGTAAGTTTTTACTACCAATCCTGAGTTCAAAATGCAAAAAAGGAGGTTCCGGAGGTGATCAGCCAATAGGAAAGCTGAGGTTTTTTTTCGCTCGACATGATTCAGGTACCACTTGGTCTTTTGAATGTTTTCTTTGATCTGGATAGTCTGAGCCGATAGTCGTTCTTACGGAAACGAAATCCTTTTTCTGTTTCGAATGTGAGATGTGAGCTTAGTGGAGATTGTGAGGCTACCGCATAACATATTTCCACAGTTTTTATCTCTGCGAGCCATAGGCCTGCTTCGTTCTTACAGCGATAGCGTGGCCTAACACCACCATAGGTTATGTCCATGTGTGTACCATTGTGTACTGTTATGTATCGCTGAATTGAGTGGGTCATTGAAATTTTGTGTAATACAACGTTCACCATATTACACTGCAATTTTGAATTATTTATTGCCAAACTATAGTCAGACTATTTTTTCTTGACTGAGTAGAAGGAATCAAGCCGAGAAAAATTCGAACCATTCAATTGTGTAATGGAAACGAGCGGTGAGCCTCCGATGAGTGTTCAAAATGAGACACCGGCTTTTTTCAAAAAAAAATATTAAGACTACAGAAAACTGTAATGGGGTTTGTAAACTCCCGCGCCTAATGGAACGGGCTTCATCAAGAGAATCAATAAGAGCATGACGGGTATAATTCTTAGGAAGATGAGGCGCAACTGTTTACTGCCCTCAGCGGAAAGAATGTGCGTGAAACCATATCACAGATGATCATTCCGACTGGCTCAGTCCGTGGTCGCCAGTACCTGGAAACACTTACTCGACCTTGCTGTTCTCTAGGGTTTCTGCAAAAGATTGAGCCATCACTTCTCACACATGAGATCCTGCCTCGCGATGATTGATCGATTGATTAAGAGGGTCCTTCTCTCTAAGAAACGATGCCAAAAAGTCATCAGTGTAAATTATAATGCCATGGTTCACTTTTCTTTTTGGTTTCCTTGGTCTCTCATGGAGGGGTCCTTAGTCGCATGGAGACGAAGCACTGTTGGGTAGTACCG